AGACTTTTATTCATTACTATTGTCAGGAAACTTTAATTCAATTTTGGATTTTGTTTGTAAAATTGGACATAACTTGATTGAGTTGAGCAGAGAAAAGACAGACGTTCTGACTCACTCTTTATTGATTTTGAGAATAGGCAGTTTTTTACCGTGGGAAAGTTGAGGTTTAGAGTGTACAAAAATAAACTCGAATAGGCCGTGTGCTGCAGTTTACAGCAATATGAAGGATCCTGGAGCCATGAGAGATCGGTCAATATGTTTGATTTGATCGCTTCGATAACACATTAGAATCCAGAGTAGCCTATGGCCGATAAGCTCTGTCAATATTTTTGGGCTGACATCAAGGGCAGATTTTAATTAGGGATGCATCAATATTGCTTTTCGATACAGATGTTGATACATTGGCTTTAAGTATCCCGATACCCGATATCAACCAATACCAGGGCAGAAACTGAAAGTATATTTTATTTCCTTTAAACACAAACAGCATAAGTTAAAAAAAAAAAAATCCAACTGCAGAACAGCTTTGTAAAAATACATGTTTAATATGATGAGATGTTTTGGGTCAACATTGGCCAGCAAATCGTTTTATTAAACCAATTTATAAACTAAAAGGGGCTGAACCGATCTTGGAATCTGATATCTGATCCACCAAAAACTTCGAAACCGTTATCCAAAAAAACCCAAAAAAACATATTGTCTATCACAACAATACACTGGTCTCCATTTAAATTATCCAATTAAAATAATCTTGACTTTACTAAGCTCCTGTTGACATATTACCAACATTTAAACACAGTTAAACAGTTAAAACGTCATTATAATTCAGTATTTTGCGGTAACCTTGCAATTTGAATATATTATTGGTCTTAAACCCAGCTTCAGCCGTCTTTAAGCTGACCATGCAGTTGCACCAAACCTACAATAGCACATATATTGAAAGAGCTAAAACGTATTGCATTCTTAGGGATTCTCTTTGGACATGTGCCATAACTCCATATACGCTGCATCATTCTGCATGTCTTTGCAATTTCCCGTCCTCTGCAAATCCTTTATAATCTCTAACATAAAACATAGACTTTTTATTCTCCTCGTAGCGTTTTTACTGTCCACCGAATAGCGTCATATATATAGAAACAGCTGCACACGAGTTAGCCGTGATGAATGCATGAATCAGTGAAGCTACGTGGCTAATGTTCCTTCAATCACTCACTACTGTACTAGCCAGCGCCCTCTCTGCCCCCAGGATCTCTTGATGTGACGTCCCATATGGGCACAAAGGCACGGGCAGACCTCAGTACATGTGGCTATACAATGAGGCAGTAATTCAGGAGGAACAGATGGGGCCGGTGTAGCGTGATCAGAGCAGTCACAGCTTATGCAATGAGGCTACATGTGGACAGAGTGAGCAGATAGGCTAATTTATGTGTGTGCTTATAAATGAAATGTGTTATGTAAGTTCAACGGTGGCTGGAAATTTGGCTGAGTGAGAAGGGAAATTCAGGATGATTAAGTTTGGAGAATTTTACAATAATACTGATTGTATTCTGTTGTTTTTGTTGTTGTAGTTGTATTCTAAAAACATACATACTTATATATTTTTTTCTTTTATATTTTTTGGGGTGAAAGGGACGAGGACACACAAAAACATAAAAGCTTTAAAGGTCTTATTTTGCACATAATTGACTCTTGTGAGCTTTACACCATGTTAGAATATTGTTCATCAAAAACATACCTGGAGTTATGTTTTGTTCCATTCACACATATTTGAATAATCCTTTATTATTATTGGTCCGTGTACCATTCGTGTTTTTTTTTTTTTTTATTTCAGTTAAGAACGAAAAACAATGAAATTGGAAAACAGTTTGTTATTTCATTATTCTGTTTAAGTATCAAAAAAAAAAAAAAAAAAAAGATTTTGACCTCTATTTCCAATATTTAATTTAAAGTTTATTTCAGATGACACCACTCAAAAAAACTCATTGCCTATTTTAATTCAGATATTTTAATCTCTCTGATTTATATGAAGTTCTGCTGTTAGAGAGGCTTAACTGAAAAAACTATTGCAATTTTGTGGACAAACATGTCCTCTTTTATAGCGACACATTTACTTTCACATCCTAGAAAGTAAGTGTTAAACTCCATGGCAAGAAACAGGTAGCAACAAGGTGATAAACTTTGTTCACTTGACACCATAACTTGACACCTTAGCCCAGACGTCCACGATCCATTGGCAGATCGTGGAGCAATTCGCCCGGCGTTGCCTCCCTGTCTTGGTGAATGTGAATTATGAATGTGAATGTGGATAAATTAAAGTTGGATTTTTATTTTCTATGAGGAGGACTCAAATATACATTGAGTAGTAATGTGCTTAATGCAGCTTTGTGCACATTTGTTTACATTTTATAGGAAGAAACTTAAAACCACATGGCTAATTTGCATAAACTATAAGCACTGAAAAAAACTGCTCGCTCCTTGTGAGCTGATACGGTCAGCTTCTGTCGGACTAAAGGACACGACTCCGCGAGACTCCCGACTACGGTGTGGCTTCATAGTTTACCAAAGTTGTACTAAAACATTTTGACAGATTTTTGAGCTCCGTGTACCACATAAAATTGGTTCGAGGTCAGTCAGAAAGCACAACCAGAATTAATACATAAGGCGCACCTGATTTTAAGGCACACTGTTGATTTTTGAGAAACTTAAAGGAATTTAAGTGCACCTTATTGTACAAAAAATACGGTACTTCTTGTGTTCCAGCGGACTCAGAAAAGTGCTTTATAAATGCCTTTGTTTTATTATTTGTTCTGTAATAAATTTTGACTATTTGCCTTTATTTCCACAAACTGTACATTTGAAACTCACATAAAGCACACTTTTATAATCTTCACCTTTTTACCCCGCTCCCTAGCTGCCATTTTAACAAGCACTGGAACAAATGTCTTGTTTTACAGCTAACCCTATGGTGAAAGACGTCTTCAAATTAATTGACGCTCACCCAGTATAATTCACCTAATGAGCCCCAGACCTGCCCACAGCCAGCACCGTCTCTGCTCCGCCACTAAATCCACCTTAATTATACTTCCTATCTTCTCCCCTACGGCCTGCCTTTGTTTTGGCTCCATATGCTAGTACTATCACATTCAAACGCAATATTTTTAACTTGAGCCGGGAGCCAGTTCAGAATGACGCGGGTTAGAGCTGTCAAAACGGTGATGTTTGACCTGGTTTGTCATTAATTTTTGCGTCTTTCTTTTCACAAACTGACACTTTTCATACATAAAGGTTTCCAAGGGTGAAGTTATGAAAAATATATCGAATTGCGTTTTTGATTGACAGTAGACTTGCAAATTATGTTTTAATAATAGTTGTTCAAAAATCGCATGTGAAATGGGTTCAGAGGAATTGACACAAAGACTGAAAAATGAACTGACAGCTAATACAAGAATCACATTTCAGGACGTGTTTGTACAGATCTAATACTACAGGGATAGCAGTTTTTATCTGGAATAAGAAAAGATATTAAAAAGGGTAGTAAGAAATAAGAAAGGATATTTTGTTGTTTGTGGTACTTTAAAAAAATTGCATGTATTCAGTTGTGATTAATGTTTCAGACCTGTTGTTGTCATTTGAAAGGACAGGAGATTAATATGGCAAGTTTTTTGTTCTTAATACCATCAACATTTGTGGATTTGAAGTTAGGGTAAAAAGCATCAAAAATTAGATATTAATGGATGCTAAAATTAGTACTGAAAGTCGATACTAATTTGAGCATCGATACTAAAAAGTCACATTCACAGGAGAGAAATGAACCTTTCCGGAATAATTTTAGAATGATGTTGAGCTGTATCAGAACAAGTATAAGTGCACATAGACTCGTATACGCACATGGACCACTGTAGAACTGACCTGGACCACTGAGGGATTACACAGATATAAGACCACATAGTAATATATTAAAAAGTACTATGATTTCATGTTGAAAAGAACTTTCTATTGTCTAAATAGTTTTTTATTATCATCATGGTATAGGAATCAGTATTGAGTATTGAGTCTATTCCTAAGCAAGGGTGTAGTAGGCATGGTACACGGGGGTCCACCCACTTCTCCCATTGTGAGATAAAAAAAACCAAAAAACAAATGTAAAATAGCTTACAACTTAAATGTCAAACGGAGCTATTGGCAATGGTGAAAACAACCTGCACAGGTTCATGATATCTGCAGTACTGTCCGATAGTGACCTGAGACATGAGGGACCAGGACTGAACCAGGACTAAAACAGGACTGAAACAGGACTAAAACAGGACTAAAACAGGACTAAAACAGGACTAAAACAGGACTAATAACAGGACTGAACCTGGGCTGAGTGTTGGGACGGGCCTAGAGGTGCGCCTGCGAAGACCTTCCGGTGACAATCGCCCGATTGTGCTTTATGGACACCCTGCTCCACGGGTTCTCTTGCTCTCAAGTCCAAGATTAGTTTAGACCTGGTTTCGACCTGGTTTAGTCCCAGTTCAGTCCTGGTTTGGTCCTGGTTCAGTCCTGGGCACATGTTTTGATGTGTATGATTTATGTTCTGTAGGTGATTGTGAATGGTGTTAATGTTTATTACTTGATTCTGCATCATTTTGGGTAAAAAATCAACTTCAAATATTACTGATTTTTACTGGGCTGGCGCCTTTATGTTTGTACTGAAAGTGAGGTAGGTAGGTGGTAGGTGGTAGGTGGGTGGGATTCATCACATCGATGACGTCACGAATTGCATACCCCCACTTAAAACATCCCTACTACACCACTGTTCCTAAGTGTGGAATTGGAGTTTGAAATATTAGTATTGTGACAACACTATTTGAAGTCTGGATGTCTCTTTCAAAAACAATAAAAGTGATAAAGATGTTGTAAATTGTTAAATGGTGCAACACTTTCATCAGTTTACCTTCTGAATATTTAAAAGTCCTCAAAAATGATGCCTCTTACCCCTCTCTTTTTTTGCCTCGCAGGAGGCGCAGAAGGTGAGCAACCCGGCCAACGCGCAGGCAGCCGCAGCAACCAAGAACCCCGACGAGAAGGAGGAGGCCCCAGCGAGCGAGGTGGGCTGGATGACCTCGGTGAAGGACTGGGCGGGCGTCATGATTTCGGCGCAGACGCTAACGGGCAGAGTCCTGGTAAGTGTACACAAACGAGAGCGTTCAAATCGATCACTGTTGTAATGAGTGATGAGTGCCGGCCCAGGCGATGATTTAAACTGGGGATTAGTGTGCCTCGTCCAAGTTGGCATTAGGAGGTTGTAGCTGAATTGTAGCCAAATTGTTTTCTTAAGTATGGGTAGCAAAAACGACAAAGTTTTATTTCTATGGGGTATTAACTACTAACACGTAACATATTTAGATCACCATGTTACCTCTTATTGTTTTGAAAATGCTATATTCAGGGAAAACGGATTAAGCTTCATTTTGGTTTTGATGCTCGAGTCTTCCCTCCCATCGCTCTCAGTGCAGCCACTCCCCCTGCAGAGCACTATCACGATACAATCGGTGTGTATCCCACTAATGAAACTAATGCACATCATATCAGGTTTGCCAAGTTGTTGTGTAGAGTTTTTTATCATTCTTTTGTGATATTTATGGTGATGAGGGAACAACGTTTTCACCTGGTAGAAAAAAAAAAAAAGCACAATACATGCGATTAAGGTTTCAATTTCTGTATGTATTTTTCTATGGTTTGAATTGTCAATATTTACACTGTATTAATAAGTACTCGCTAAATGTACTTTTTTGAGCTTTTAGTTGTGGTATAATGTTGTTTACTCATCAAAAACATACTTTACATTGTGAGTAATCCTGCATGTTTAGGCAGTCAGCTTCTCTTGTGGTGAAAGTGCTCTCCAACCTTGTGATGTCACTAGGTGGCAGAGGTGGGTCCAAGTTGTTGTTTTGCAAGTCTGAAGTAAGCCTCAAGTCTTTGACCTCAAGTCCGAATCAGGTCCCAAGTCGAGTCTCGAGTCATTGGCCCCTAAGTTCAAGTCAAGTCCAAGTCGTCTGCTTTGAGCTTCAAGTCATTAAAAAAACAAAGCACCAAAATAGCTTAGATTTTTGCTATTTAAATGACTTTTAGACTAAACTGCACTTAAAAAGTCATGGTTTATTTATATATGAATATTTATATAAGAGAAATCTTTCCTTTTTAAGTGTCTTGAAAGGATCTTAGTGTGAATCATTATGGTCAGAATATAAAGTGCTAAGTATAGATATATACTATATATATAGATAAGTATAGAGTGCTTATTAACAGTTATTTTTTAATGTAGTTCTATGTACTTCCCTCTGTTTTAAAGTATTGTACTGTATATTACTGTAGTACATTTGGAATACCCTATCACAGTACTTCAGTTACATCCAAAGTAATAAATAGAGCAGTGGAAGGGACATGTTCCAGTGTGTTCCTTTAAAATTAACCACCGCATGCCTCAACTGTAAAAAGAAAAGTATTTTCTAAAAACATTTTTTTAAGAGAACTATCAAGTTTTCTCAAGTCTCAGGCCTCAAGTCCGAGTCAAGTCCCAAATCTCTGACCTTCAAGTCCAAGTCGAGTCCCAAGTCTTAGTCCATTTTGTCAACTAAAGTCCTAAAAATAGTGCCTCAAGTCTGACTCGAGTCCAAGTCACAACTTGCAAATCTCCACCTCTGCTTGGTGGTAATCCAGGAAGTGCTCCTCTGTTTGTTTACACATGTTCACTAGACCAGACAGTCCATACATATACTATATTTAAGTTATTCATAGTTAATTTACCGATGCTTTAAGAGTCTCAAAAGAAGTTTGAAAAGATTGAATAATGCATTGTACTGAACCTTTAAAAAGCGGCTTTGCCTTTAAGTGTTTGGTACTGCACATTTTAAATATCTTGGAGCTATACTTGGAATTTTTTTTTTTTTTTTTGTTAATCGGAAATAGCTTGTTGTAGTGAAGCAAATTTAATTACTGCAATTCATGTAATAACTGAATGTTTACAGTAGCCTAATTGCCAATTTAAGAGGCCCATATATGATTCAGTGTGATAGCTCCATCAGTTTTATTACCTAAAGCCATATAACACTGAAATAGTCCAGTGTTAAAAAAGCATTGTATTCTAACACACCAGAAAATTCTAAACGCACATAACATGAACACTCCTCAATCATGTACATGTAATTTATTGAGCTGTTTCTCCCGGGTCTCGGTGGAGTCATAGTGCGGGACAATGAATTTGATCTGCCCGGGCTGACGGATGTGGAGTCCTCACTTAAAATATCAGATCTCTGTTTGGCTGGCAGTGCCCGCTCTGTGAGCTGGTATCCTGTATGCCAAGAGCGCAGTAAGTCACTCTGCCCTGTGTCTGCTGCCAGTTTTGCCAGTGATGCAGAGCCGAGGTCCATAGACTTGTTATACACATAAAAAGAAGTATGTTGTGGGAGATTTGTTATTAGCTGTCAGTCAGTAGCATATTTGGAAGGCGAGATATTTAAAGGTTATTTAAAGTTATAATGTTGTTTCCTCGGCAAAACATACCTGGAGTTGTGTTTTGGTTCATTCACTCACGCATGTTAAACACATAAATCCTGCTAATTTAGTATAGAGTGCTTCGCTCAAATGGAAAACACCATGATGCCATGTGATAATACAGGAAGTGCTCCATTGTGTTTCTATACTCTACAATCTCCAAGCAATTTGGGGGCGGCAACAGCTCAGTTGGTAAGAGCATTTGTCCACTGATCATAAGGTTGGAGGTTCAAATAAACATCTGTGGCTGAGCGGTCAGATCCACTACACTTACAGGCTGGCAAGCACAGATGAATGCTGTAGTTGTGTCCTTGGGCAAGACATTTAACCCACCTCACCCCTAGTGTCTGCACACACTGGCGTATGAATGTGTGTGTGAATGAGTGAGCGGTTCCTTGTTGTGAAGTGCTTTGAGTGCCTTGAAGTTGGAAAAGCGCTATATAAAATGTGACCATTGACCAGTTTCACTTAGCCTGATTCATCAGCTGGTTTCACTTTGTAGAAACCGTCTGACCTCACAGCGCTAGGATTCGTTCGCTCAACGACAGGTGGGTACTTTTTTTCTTTAACCAATCGCTGCTATCTGGTTGTGACGTATGTAATGCTCCACTAACGGGACAAACTGGTATATTAAGCTTTTCCCAAATCCCATAGGAAGAAGAGCAATAGCATCTTTACCCTTGATAAAATTCACCAAACATTCTCTTTGTTACGGTTTTAAATCCTTGATCTTGGGAATCTTTACCAACACAGAATGTATGGCTCTTCGCTGATTGGCGGGTGCCCGAACTCGCACTTCTGAGGTTTTTGCGAACTGTCTAGTGTATTCCAATTCCTGACCTAGTCGCTGGACAGAAATGCAGTTGAGTGGAGGAACTAGGTGGTGCCAGCCTGGCTAATTTTCACTAGAATCATTTGGATAATTTAAGCCCTGGAATTGCCAGTCTCTTCTGAACAAAAGGTAAAAAGTAGCTACAATTTTGAAAACTACCACTTCATGACATCACAATGTGGAACAGAGCATTTTGAAGTTTGGCGAAACACAACTCCGGATATGTTTTTAATAAGTTAACAGCATTATTATATGGCTTAAAGTGCACAAGAGTCAATTTTGCGTAGGACCTTTTAATATGATGCCTTTATTGTAGGTGCATTATTTATTCTCTACTCTGGAAGTATTGGTGACGTGTTTTGCCCAAAGACACAACATCAGTATGCAATGTTGGAAGTTGGAATCTAACTACCAACTTTTGTCTTTATTGGGGTTAAGTTTCCTCCACTGAACTAACTCTAATGCTAATGTATGATCATTTTTTAAGCCTTTGTCTCAAATATTAAAGACCTTCAGTTCTCCCACACCCTTTCCCGTTATAGCCAACATTTTGAAGATTTACGACCATTCAGAAGCGATTTTTTATTTTTTTTGTCAGCGGTCCAAATTTTTATCACTATGAAATGTGTGAAAACTGCAGGGGTTGCACAAAGTTCCTGGCCCTAAAAAAAATTAAATAAAAATCTGGCTTTTGGATCAGGTTCTTGGTGACTGTTTGCAAGCATCTCCAGGTTCAGATGCTTTTAAAGTGAGGATTTAATTTAGCGATACAGTTTTGCCCTTCAGAGTAGCCAGCCCTGCTTCCTCTATAACATCCTAACACAATTATGAGCAGTTTACCAATGGCTAACCAGGAAATGGATTGAGCAATGTAATTAGATGGGGCTTTTGATGTAGCAAATTCTATAAGGAGTTTCCTGTGCACCCAGCAGCTATTAGCAAATACACTCTCCTGGTTAAGTCTGTTAGCAAAATGAAAAGTGCTTTTTCATTAGACGAGCTCAATCAGTTTACTGCTAAATAACATACTGGCACATTATTGCAAGTCTATTCTTCATCTATTCTTTCAAAATGTTGCCAATTCTCAATATCTGTTTCTGTTACTGTAGCCTGGAATGGACAAACTTATGAACTTCTCAATGTGCAATCTTTGAAGGAAGGTTTTTATGAAGCTCTTGAAATTAGGTTTGGCCAAAGTTTATTGCGTGTCCTTAGGCTTCCGTAGATGCTCAAAGACTGGAAAGAAAGTAGAGGTTGGGTAATGTTGATACACACACAAAAACAAAACAAAAATGTAATCCGCAAGCGGCATCGGGACTGCAGCTAATTATAGAGCATTTTTTATTGTCCGCAAATCAGGAAGTAAGGATAGTACATTGTTAACATGCTTGTGACTTCGCACTGGCCTCTGAGAGTTCAAAAATTTGCTTGTAAACTTTGTCTACTGATCCGAAAGTTGGCAGTTCAACTCCCTTTTGAGTAGGGCTGGGTATCATTAAGAAGTTGCTGATACGATATATACCTCGATACATAGGCCCCGATATGATACATTTTTCGATACAGCACACTTTTGATTCAGTATATTTCAAATTCATTTGATACAGTTCAGTGAAAAAAAGGCTAAATCATGCGCAAAGTTAATATGAAAAACACCTTTTTACTCATCAAAACTGTGAAATGTCACCACAGTTGTAGCTGTTACACAAAATAATTTAGTAAAATATACCTAAAAATACTCTTGGCAATATATCGATACGTTTTTTGACACAGTACACTTTCGATTCAATACGATATATT